GTCACCTGTGTGAGGTCACCTGTGGATGTGCTGTGTGGTCACCTGCGATGTCACCTGTGTGAGGTCACCTGTGCAAGGTCACCTCTGTGAGTGCTGTGAGGTCACCTGTGTGAGGTCACCTGTGGATGTGCTGTGAGGTCACCTGAGTGACGTCACCTGTGTGAGGTTACCTGTGCAAGGTCACCTCTGTGAGTGCTGTGAGGTTGCCTGTGTGAGGTCATCTGTGTGATTGCTGTGAGGTCACCTGTGTGATGTGACCTGTGTGAAGTCACTTATGAGAGGGACATGTATGAAGTCCCCTGTGTGAGGTCACCTGTGCAAGGTCACCTCTGTGAGTGCTGTGAGGTCGCCTGTGTGAGGTCACCTGTGGATGAGCTGTGAGGTCATCTGAGTGATGTCACCTGTGTGAGGTCACCTGTGTGAGGTCACCTGTGTGAGGGCTGGAGAGGAGGCTGCCCAGTGGGCGGGGCCAGACAATGCAGGTTCTTGGAGCCAACACCAACACAGAATTAGCTGAGCTGGTTCTGAATTCATGTGGAAATGCAAAAAATATTGAGAAGGAAGAAAAAAGAGGGAGGATGAAGGCTTCCTGATTTCAAAGCATACTACAAAGCTACAGTAATCAAAACAGTGTGGCATTGTTTTAAGGGTAGACACATAGACAAATGGAATACAACTGAGAGTTCATAAGTAAATCCAGGCATCTATGGTCAACTGATTTTTGACCAGGGTGCCAAATCAATTCAATGGGTGAAGAACAGCCTCTTCAACAAATGGTGCTGGGACAACTGGATCTCCACATGCAAAAGAATGTAGCTGGACCCCTACTTCACACCATATACAGAAATCAAGTCCAAAGGCATCATGGACCTAAATGTAAGAAAGAGAGCGTAAAGGAGCAAGCATAGAGGTATGTTCTACAGCAGACAAGGAGTCACACGCTCCTGGATGAGGACCAGACTCCGAAAGGGAGACAGGAGAGAACATGCGGTGGGGAGTCCTGGCGAAGGTGTTGGGTTCTTACCTTTTTTTGGATGTCGAGTTGATAATCTAAGATATGACTTGCATACTCAAATCTCCTCTGTGGGTTTTCCCACTGGATAATATGATTTGATCCGTTGTAGTGACTTGTGATGTTTGATGGCGGGTTATACTTTTCTAGAATAAAAACACAAAAAGGCAAAGAGTTACAAATCTACAAGGTGGAGGGGTAAATTAAGAGGGAGAAGTTGAGAACACTTCTCGGCACTAATTTCCAGTTGCCATGGAGTCGACTCCAACTCATGGCGACCCCATGTGTGTCAGAATAGACCTGTGTTCCACGTGGTTTTCTTCCAAGGCGCTTCTGGGTGGACTCGAACTCCCTACTTTTCAGGTACAGCCTAGTGCATTAACTGGATGCATCATGCAGGGAATCCTAATATATAGCATAAACCAAACCACTTGCCTTTGAGTCAGCTCCAACTCATGGCAACCCCACGTGCATTAGAGCAGAACTGTGCTCCACAGAGTTCTCAATGGCTGGATTTTCGAAGTAGATTGCCAAATCTTTCTTCCGAGGTGTCTCTGGGTGGACTCAAACTCAAACCACCAACCTTTCAGTTAGCAGCCAAGTGTGTTAACTCTTTGCACCACCCAGGGACTCCTTATTGGTTGCCATTGAATAAACACTAACTCATGGTGACCTCATGTGTGTCAGAGTAGAACTGTGCTCTTTAGGGTTTTCAGTGGCTGAGGTTTTGAACGTAGGTTGCCAGGCCTTTCTTCCGAGGCACCTCTGGGGTGGACTCAAGCTTCCAGCCTTTCAGTTGGCAGCCAAGCACATTAACCATTTGCAGTACCCGGGGACTCCCTTTTCTTACCCATCCGAAAGGCCTCAAAGGGAGCGAAATCCAGGAAGGGGATGGTCGTCTCCTCGCTCGTTCCATTCAGGAAGAAGATGTACTGCGGCTGCTTCGGCTCAGAGCTGATATCGAAATGACAGCCCACGTGTGTGCCGGCCGAGTCCCTGATGTACTGGGGACATTCGGTCCCGTCCTCCAACCTGTAACTTGAAGACTTAGCAAAAGGCCGGGGGGACACCACCTTGGACCCACCCAGAGGCACCGCACTTACAAAGAGGTCCAGACATCGAGGCGGTACTGGACATCGGCAGGTGCTGCTGGGCCAGGCACCCAGCTGCAGTTCATGAAGCTGGTGTTGTAGATGATGCAGGTGAAGTTCATGGCCCCGGAGCTGTCCTTGCCTGGAAAGACAGGACCCCACAGCCCTCACGGACTAACACTATCACCCCTGATAAAAGTTGGATTTTTACTGAGCCCTTTTCAGAGAAATCCCCACACCCTTGTATGTTTTTAACAGCTGTTAAAACCTATTAGGCCAATAACAGAAATGGATGAAAGTTGATTTAATATACAATTTCCAAATCGGGGTAACCTTTCAACTCCAAAAAACAAAACAAACCCATTGCTGTCAAATCGATTCCGACTCAGAGTGACCGTATAGGACACAGTAGAACTGCCCCATAGGGTTTCCAAAGCTGTAATCTTTACGGAAGCAGACTACCACATCTTTCTCCTGTAGAGTGGCTGGTGGGTTCCAACTGCCGACCTTTTGGTTAGCAGCCGAACGCTTAGTCACCACACCACCAGGGCTCCACAGTTCAACTAGGAAAGAACTCCCAAAGATTCTTATACCCCATCTTATCGACATTGCCATATAAACGGGGCCAGAACACTGTATACTAACAATTTACCCTAAAACACAGCTTCTAGTCTGACCTTGGAGTCTCTGTTCTTTGAAACTGACTTGTATGTCGATAATTCTTCAAAACAGCCCAAGGTAAACATTTTTACAAATTAATCTAGTCTTTGCTAACCAAAAGGTCAGCAGCTGGAATCCACCAGCCACTTCTTGGAAACCCTATGGGGCAGTTCTACTCTGTCCTATAGGGTCGCTATGAGTTGAAATCGACTTGACAGCAACGGGTTATTTTATTTTTTTTGGTTTTTATAGGAGCCCTGGTGGCACAATGGTTAAGTGCTAGGCTGCTAGCCAAAAGATCCAGAGTTCGAACCCACCACCAGCAGCTCCGTGGAAGAAAGATGTGGCAGTCTGCTTTCTTAAAGTTTTACAGCCTTGGAAACCCTATGGGGCAATTCTACTCTGTCACTATGAGTCAGAATTGACTCAATGACAACGGATTATTGTTTGACTAAGGAGCCTTGGAAGGGAAGTGAAAGGTCAATGGTTCGATCTACCAGTGGCTCCTAGAGACGAAGACCTGTCAATCAGGTCCCGTGAAGAGTGCAGCCTAGGAAACCCTGCAGAGCAGTCCTACTCCAAAAAACAAACTAAACGTGTTGCCATCAAGTCAACTCTGACTCACAGCCACCCTATAGGACACAGTAGAACTGCCCCATAGGGTTTCCAAGGCTGTAAATCTTTATGGAAGCAGACTGCCACATCTTTCTCCTGTAGAGCGTCTGGTGGGTTCGAACCACCAACCTTTTGGTTAGCAGCTGAACACTTAACCACTGTGCCACCAGGTCTCCTCTAAAGACTTCATGATGCAGTTCATTGGAATAACTTCAGATCCCCTTCCTCAGCTCCCCTTCTCCTTCTCTCAGAGCCCCCAGGACCCCTTGGCCTTATCATAATAAAGGAAACATTTCAAGTCAGCCAGCCCTAACTGCCATCTGAGTAGCTCACCCACCAGCCCCTTAACTGTCTTTGAAGAAGTGGATTGCAGCGGAGACAGGCTGGTCTCTCTCAGCCCACTGTGTGGGTCTCCTTCCCCATTCCACCTCTCTCCCTCCTTCCCGAATTCCTTGTCCTTCCCTCACAGTGATCCATTTGGACAAACTCATCCTGGCTGTGCTTTAACATTCTCCTCTGATCTTTTTCTTTGACACCGACCCCGTTTGCTGTTGCTGTTCACTGCTGAGTTGACCCCGACTCATGGCGACCCTATGTGTGTCAGAGGAGAACTGCGTCCCATAGGGTTTTTAGTGGCTGATTTTTTGGGAAGTAGATTGCCAGGCCTTTCTTCTGAGGTGCCCACAGGGGCTGAATATTCTGCTCCTGTCTTCACTTTCAGTTCTACGGACGTCTTTAAACCAGACCAAACCAGTTGCCATTGAGCTGAGTCCAACTCACGGTGAGCCCCCGTGTGTCAGAGTAGAACTGTGCTCCGCGGGGTTTCCAATGGCTTATTTTTCAAAAGTAGATTGCCGGGCCTTTCTTCTTAGGCACCTCTGGGTGGACTCCAACCTCCAACCTTTCAACTGGTAGTGGAGCTCTTAACTGTTTACGCCAGCCAAGGACTCCAACCCACTGTTGGTGACAGATAACGCTTCTTCACCTGAGTTATTGAAGATCAAGACCTCCTGAAATGTGTCCCCGTCGGAAGTGACAGCCACGCTCAGGAGGGCGCCTCGATGCAACAAGGCATTTGGAAACCTGCAATAGTGGGTGCCATCTTCCTGGACCTGTAAAAGATCAGTCAAGAGCAAATGTGACCCGGCAATTCCACTTGTAGGTGTGTGCCTAAAGGACTTGAAAGCAGAGACTCACAAAGAGATGTGAACACCAGCGTTCAATGCAGCACTATTCGCAATAGCCAAATGGTGGAAGCAGCCTAACTGCCCGTCAACAGGTGCATGGAGAAACAAAATGTGGTACAGACATACAATGGAATATTACTCAGCCAGTAGGAGAAATGAAGTCTTGATACATGGAACAATATGGACGGAGCTGGAGGACATTATGCTGAGTGAAATAAGTCAATCACAAAAGGACAAATATTGTATGACCTTGCTTATATAAAAAGACAGAAAAAGGCAAATTTGTAACCTAGAGTTTATCCTTCCTTTGACCTAATTCAGTCCAATGAGAACTCCCAGACCTGCTTTTTTTTTTTTAAATTGTGGTAAATGTATTTATATACTGTATACATAAAAACAAACAAAGGAAAAACCAAACTTGTTGCCATCAAGTTGATTCCAACTCATAACGACCCTATAGGACAGAGTAGAACTGCCCCACAGGGTTTCCAAGGAGCGGCTGGTGGATTTGAACTACAAACTGGTCGCTGAGCTGTCTCTGATTCATGGCACCCCATGTGTAGCAGAGTAGAACTGTGCTCATAGGGTTTTCAATGGCTGATTTTTCAGAAGTAGATCACCAGGCCTTTCTTCTGAGGTGCCTGTAGGTGGACTCAAACCTCCCACCTTTTTTTTTTTTAAATTTATTCCCATGCAAAAATTAATACATACATTGTTATGTGACTCTAATTGCTCTCCCCCATAATGTGACAGCACACTCCTCCTTTCTACCCCTGATTCCCTGTGTCCATTCAACCAGCTCCTAACCCTCTCTGCCTTCCCATCTCACCTCCAGACAGAAGCTGCCTGTTTAGCCTCTTGTATCTACTTGAGCTAAGAGGCACACTCCTCACGAGTATCACTTTATGTCCCACAGTCCAGTCCAATCCCTGTCTGAAGAGTTGGCCGCAGAAATTGTTTTAGTTCTGGGCTGATAGAGAATCCAGGGGCCATGCTTTCTGGGGTACCTCCAGTCTCAGTCAGACCATTAAGTCTGGTCTTCTTACTAGAATTTGAGTTCTGCACCCCACCTTTCTCCTGCTCCATCAGGGACTCTCTGTTGTGTTCCCTGTCAGGGCGGTCATTGGTGGTAGCCGGGCACCATCTAGTTCTTCTGGTCTCAGGCTGATGAAGTCTCTGGTTTGTGTGGCCCTTTCTGTCTCTTGGGCTAATATTTTTCTTGTGTGTTTGGTGTTCTTCATTCTCCTTTACTCCAGGTGGGTTGGGACCAATTGATGCACCTTAGATGGCCGCTTGCTAGCTTTTAAGACCCCAGACACCACTCACCAAAGTAGGATGCAGAACATTTTCTTAATAAGCTTTGTTATGCCAGTTGACCTAGATGTCTCCTGAAAGCAGACCCCTACCCCTCCTACTCTGTCCCTTGAGGTGTTTGATTGTATTCAGGAAACTTCTTAGCTTTGGTTTAGTCCAATTGTGCTCGCTTCTGCTGTAGTGAGTGCTGTCCTTCCCTTCACCTAAGATAACTCCTATCTACTATCTAGTTAGTAAATAACCCTCATTCTCCCTCCCCACCCTCGTAACCATCAAAGAATGTTTTCTTCTGTGTTTAAACCTTTTCTTGAATTCTTATAATAGTGGTCTTATATAATATTTGTCCTTCTGTGACTGACCAAATTCACTCAGCATAATGACCTCCAGCTTCCTCCATGTTATGTTTCACGGATTCATCGTTGTTCTTTATCATTGTGTGGTATTCCATTGTGTGGATATACCATAATTTGTTTATCCATTCATCTGTTGATGGGCACCTAGGTTGTTTCCATCTTTTTGCTATTATGAACAGTGCTGCGATGAACATGGGTGTGCCTATATCTATCGGTGTGATGGCTCTTATTTCTCTAGGATATATTCCAAGCAGTGGGATTGCTGGATGGTACTTCTATTTCTAGCTTTTTAAGGAAGCACCAAATCGATTTCCAAAGTGGTTGTACCATTTTATATTCCCACCAACAGTGTATAAGTGTTCCAGTCTCTCTACAACCTCTCCAGCATTTGTTATTTTGTGTTTTTTGGATGAATGCCAGCCTTGTTGGGGTGAGATGATATTTCATTGTAGTTTTGATCTGCTTTTCTCTAATGGCTAATGATGATGATCATGTGTCTGTTAGTTGCCTGAATATCTTCTTTGGCGAAGTGTCTGTTCATATCGTTTGCCCATTTTTTAACTGGGTTATTTGTCTTGTTGTTGTTGAGGTCAAACCTCCAAACTTTTGATTAGCAGTGGAGCATGTTAACCATTTGTGTACCTGAGGGACCTCTCCTTCAGTTCAAATATGAGTGAACAGGTCGAACACAGGCAGTCTGGGAAGATATTCTGGCATAGGAAAGAAGGGGAGGACTTTTCTAAACCTGCAACAGAAACTCATGAAAATAACTTACTTCAAAAAAAAAAAGAAAAACAAACTCCAGTTGCTTTGAAACCCTAAAACAAGAGAAAGCGTGGGTTTTGAAACAAAAGCTGAGGAGGCTGGCGGGAATAAAGCCCACTCCAAGAGGAAAACTTGGGAATTACACAGATTATGAAGAATTTCTTAAGACCTCCAGGCAGGAAAATCAGTTACTTATCATCTTAGTTATCTAGTGCTGCTCTAACAGAAATGCCACAAGTGGATGGCTTTAACAAAGAGAAATTTATTCTCTCACAGTCTAGTAGGCTACAAGTCCAAATTCAGGGTGTCAGCTCCAGGAGAAGTCTTTCTCTCTCTGCGGGCTCTGGGGGAAGGTCCTTGTCATCAATCTTCCCCCTGTCTAGGAGCTTCTCAGCACAGGGACCCTGGGTCCAAAGGACACACTCCACTCCTGGCTCTTCTTTCCTGGTGGTGTAAGGCTCCCCCTCTCTCTGCTCACTTCCCTTTCCTTTTATCTCTTGTAAGATAAAAGATGGTGCAGGTCACACTCTAGGGAAACTCCCCTTACATAGGATCAGGGCTGTGACCTGAGTAACGGTGCTGCATCCCACCCTAATCCTCTTTAATATAACCTGATCTTGCCTCATTAACCACAGGCAGAGATTAGGATTTACAATACCTAGGAAAATCATATCAGATCACAAAATAGAGGACCACCACACACTACTGGGAATCATAGCCTAGACAAGTTGACACATATTTTTTGAGGACACTATTCAATCCATAACACAATTAAGTGTTCTAGAATTCCCATTCTTCACAGTGTTATCCATAATTTGTTATGATCCACACAATCGAATGCCTTTGCATAGTCAATAAAACATAGGTAAACATCTTTCTGGTATTCTCTGCTTTCAGCCAGGATCCATCTGACATCAGCAATGATATCCCTGGTTCTGCATCCTCTTCTGAATCTGGCTTGAATTTCTGGCAGTTCCCTATCAATGTACTGCTGCAGCCACTTTTGAATGGTCTTCAGCAAAATTTTACTTGTGTGTGATATTAAGGATATTGTTTGATAAATTCTGCATTCGGTTAGATCACCTTTGTTTGGAATAGGCATAAATATGGATCTCTTCCAGTCGGTTGGCCAGGTAGCTGTCTTCCAAATTTCTTGGTATAAATGAGTGAGCACTTCCAGCACTGCATCCGTTTGTTGAAACATCTCAATTGGTATTCCATCAGTTCCTGGAGCCTTGTTTTTTTTTTGCCAATGCCTTCAGTGAAGCTTGGATTTCTTCCTTCAGTACCATCGGTTCTTGATCATATGCTACCTCCTGAAATGATTGAACATCAACAAATTCTTTTTGATACAGTGACTCTGTGTATTTCTTCCATCTTCTTTTGATGCTTCCTGCATCGTTTAATATCTTCCCCATAAAATCCTTCAGTTTTGCAACTCGAGGCTTGAATGTTTTCTTCAGTTCTTTCAGCTTGAGAAATGCCAAGCATATTCTTCCCTTTTGGTCTTCTATCTCCAGATCATTACAATACTTTACTTTGTCTTCTAGAGCCACCCTTTGAAATCTTCTGTTCAGCTCTTTTACTTCACCATTTCTTCCTTTTGCTTTAGCGACTTAACATTGAAGAGCAATTTTCAGAGTCTCTTCTGACATCCATTTTGGTCTTTTTTTTCTTTCTTGTCTTTTTAAAATGACTGTTTGCTTTCTTCATGTATAATGTCCTTGATGTCATTCCACAACTCGTGTGTTCTTAGGTCATTAGCGTTCAACATGTCATATCTATTCTTGAGATGGTCTGTAAATTCAGGTGGGATGTACTCAAGGTCCTACTTTAGCTCTTGTGGACTTGTTCTAATTTTCTTCCATTTCAACTTGATCTAGCATGTGAACAACTGATGGTCTGTTGCACTGTCGGCCCCTGGCCTTGTTCTGACTGATGATTTTGAGCTTTTCCATCATCTCTTTCCACAGATGTAGCTGATTTGATTCCTGTGTTTTCCACCTGGTGAGGTCCACGTGTATAGTCGCCATTTATGTTGTTGAGAAAAGGTATTTGCAATGAAGAAGTCGTTAGTCTTGCAAAATTCTACCATGCGATCACCAGCTTCTTTTCTATCACCAAGGCCATATTTTCCAACTACGGATACTTCTTGTTTCCAACTTTCGCGTTCCAATCACCAATAATTATCAGTGCATCCTGATTGTATGTTCGATTGATTTCAGACTACAGAAGTTGGTAAAAATCTTCAATTTCCTCATGTTTGACCTTAGCAGTTGGTGGATAAATTTGAATAATAGTCGTGTAACTGGTCTTCCTTGTAGGCGTACGGATATCATCCTATCGTTGACAGCGTTGTACTTCAGGATAGATCTTGAAATGTTCTTTTTGACGATGAATGCAATGCCATTCCTCTTCAAGTTGTCATTCCTGTCATAGCAGACCATATGATAGTGTTCCATTTCATTTTTGATGATTTCCAATTTTCCTAGATTCATACTTCGTATATTCCATGTTCCAATTATTAACGGATGTTGGCAGCCATTTCTTCTCATTTTGAGTCGTGCCACATCAGCAAATGAAGGTCCTGAAAGCTTGACTCCACCCACATCATTAAGGTCGACTCTACTTTGAGGAGGCAGCTCTTCCCCAGTCTTCTTTTGAGTGCCTTCCAACCTGGGGGAAGGGGAGGCTCATCTTCCAGCACTATATCACACAATGTTCTGCTGCTATTCATAAGATTTTCACTGGCTAATTCTTTTCAGAAGTAGACTGCCGGGTCTTCTTCCTAGTCTGTCTTAGTCTGGAAGCTCAGCTGAAACCTGTTCGCCATGGGTGACCGTGCTGGTATTTGAATACTGGTGGCATAGCTTCGAGCGTCACAGCAACACACAAGCCCCCACAGTATGACAAACTGACAGACGTGTGGGGGACACATGAAATTTAGTGCATAAAATTTACCCCCAAGTCTTCAGCTTAGTTCTCTAGAGAAGCAAAACCAGTGAAGCATCTATATATAAGTAGAGAGAGATTTATACCAAGGAAATGGCTCACACAGTGGTAGAGGTTGGAAAGTCCGAAGTCCGTGGGTCAGGCTGGAGGCTTCTCCTGACTCATGTATCTGAAGGGAGTGATGAACCCAAGATCGGCAGGTCAGACAACAGGGCTCTTGTTCACACAGGCCGTGAAAATCAACCAATCCCAAGATCAGCAGGCAAGATGACAGGTAAGCTGCTAGCTCAAGTCCCAAGAACCGAAGGTCAGATAAACAGGAGCCAGCTGCAGGATCCAGAGTAAGCAAAAGCCCTTGAGCCTTGCCAGCAGATCCCATCATGGAGGTGATCACATTATATCAGATCTCATCACAGAGGTGATCACATCATTATACAACTGCCAAACCACTGAGAATCATGGCTCAGCCAAGTTAACACACAACATTAACCATCACACCCCACTACGAAGGAGCAGGAGTCCCCAGGTGGCGCAAACTGTTAACGTGCTCCACTGCTAACCAAAAGGTTGGAGGTTTGAGTCCACTCAGAGGTGCTTCAGAAGAAAGGCTTGGCGATCTTCTGAAAATCAGCCACTGAAAACCCCATGGAGCACAGTTCTACTCTGACACCCTTGAGGATGCCATGAGTTGGAGTCCACTCGATGGCAACTGGTTTACATGGAAGCAGATTGTTATGTCTTGAACTGTGTCCCCCCAAAATGTGTGTCAGCTTGGCTAGGCCGCGATTCCCAGTACTGTGTGGTTGTCCTCCATTTTGTCATCTGATGTAATCATCCTATGTGTTGTAAATCCTACCTCTATGATGTTAATGAGGTAGGATTACCGGCAGTTACATTAGTGAGGCAGGACTCAATCTACAAGATTGGGTTGTGTTTTCAGCCAATCTCTTTTGAGATATGAAAGAGAGAAGCGAGCAGAGAGGAGAGGGACCTCACACCATCAAGAAAGAAGCATCGGGAGCAGAGTGCATCCTTTGGACTCGGGGTCCCTGCTCTGAGAAGCTCCTTGACCAGGGGGAAATTGATGACAAGTACCTTCCACCAGAGCCCACAGTGAGAGAAAGACTTCCCTTGTAGCTGGCTCCCTGAATTCGGACTTCTAGCCTCCTAGACTGTGAGAGAATAAATTTGTCTTTGTTAAAGCCATCCACTTGTGGTATTTCTGTTAGAGCAGCACTAAATGACAGAGACACAGATCAAGAACAGTTCGACAAGAAATGAGGGAGGGGACCTGAGGGGGCATGACAGGAAAATGCAAGGTGTGCAGAAAGCAAAGGGTAGATCTTTCCACCAGCACCCACCTGTGTCTCTGGGATGCAGAAAGTTTCCAGAGGGGTTTCTATTTTACACATCTCCTGAGTCACATTTCTCCTGCAATTCCACCTTAAAATTTTCCGTCTTGGATCTAGCTTTAAGTTTATGATAGGAGAGCCATTTTTCTCTGCCGAGATGTTGAAAAACTGGTGTCGAGTGAAAACCCGGCCCCCAGCTGATGTTACAGATACAGCCGATGAGAGACATTCTGTAAGTATCAGAGGGACATGGTCATTTTTTTTAAGGCACCCTCGAGTTGATTCTGACTCACTGTGACCCCATGTAACAGAGTAGAACAGCCCCATGGGGTTTCCTAGGCTGTGATCTTGTGCGGGAGCAGATGGCCGGGTCTTTCTCCTCCAGAGCTGCTGAGTGGGTTCAAACTGCCAACCTTTTGGTTTGCAACTGAGTGCTTAACCATTGCGCCACTAGGGCTCATCTTGTTCATCATCTTGTTTTGATTGCTGTGAGTAACTTTTCATTCTGGATATTCAGGATGGGGGAGAGCGCGGTTGCTCTTTTCCCCCAAGGGGGCCCCTCCAAGGTGTCGAGTTCACCTCGTTTCCTCCGGGGTGGGGAGGTGGTGTGCGGTTGATGGTGGTTGTGGGCCAGGTCAAGGGACAAAGCTGAATTCCCCTGATTGTTAAAATAAGCCCCCCACCTTCTGTGTTCAGTTACATGGGAAGGAACCCCCTTCCCATGCTATGCCGCTTGTTAGCTGCCGTCGAGTTGGTTCTGAGTCACAGCGACCCTATAAGACAGAGTAGAACTGCCTCATAGGGTTTCCAAGTCTGTAATTTTTGCCACGTCTTTCTCCTGTGGAGCAGCTGGCGGGTTTGATCCACCGACTTTTTGGTTGGCAGCTGAGCGCTTAACTATACTGCTCCACCAGGGCTCCCCTGTAAAGATCACAGCCTAGAATGCCCTATGGGGCTGTTCTACTCTGTCATATGGGGTCACTATGAGCTGGAATCAACTTGACAGCAAAGAGTTTAGTCTTTACGGAAAAGATAGCCAGGTCTTTTCTCCCTCGTAGCCTCTGGGGGGGGGGGGTTTGAACCGCCAACGTTTCGGTTAGCAGCCAAGTGCTTAACCACTGTGCCACCAGGGCTCCTTAATAGTCCCTTATCCCCTTGAAATTATCTTTCTCTCTGAATAAAGCCTCTCCCCATCTAAGTCTGGGTTTGTTTTTATTTGGCATAGGGACATTCTAACCCCTAGTCCTCTTCAAATGCTACAGGTGCGGTTTCACCCCGTCCCAGCCCCTGACATGGGAAAGTGGGTCCACACCTACCCTGGTACTGCTCTGGTTGGCAGCACGCCGGGGCTACAAACATCCAGAACCACACAAGGTCCAGCAGGGTCACCATGCCGCAGCCCAGGCCAGGACCTGAAACACCTGAAAAGCAGACACCAAGTCAGAGGTCCCATGCCAAGGCCAGAGACCACCCTTCTCGTCTCCTTTCCTGCCGGAGGAATCCCCAGATGGTTCTCTGGGGTCACTTTAGCCAGCCTCTAACATGGTGGCACAAACAGTGAAGCACTCAATGACTAGCCAAGAGGTTGGTGGTTCGAACCCACCCAAAGGTGCCTCAGAAGAAAGGCCTGGCTATCTGCTTCTGAAAGGTCACAGCCTTGAAAACCCTGTGGAGTGCAGTTCTACTCTGCACACATGGGGTTGTCGTGAGTCGGAATCGAGTCGACGGCAACTAACAACAGTGATAATCATGAAGATGGCTCAGGACCAGGCAATCTTTCATTCTGTTACACAGAAGGTTGTCCTGAGTTAGAGCTGACTCAATGCAGCTAACATCAGCGACCACCACCACGAGAGCTAAGAGGCTCTTGTATGTTCCCGGGGACTCTATTTGGTTTACAAGTCTACATCAGAGCTTAGCATGTGATGGGGGTCTGGCTCCCACAGCCCTGTGTGACCTGACAATGATCATTTCATTTCAGCTTCACTGTTGGGTCCTTCCATCCCCCATCTGTTGGACTGTGGTGTCTTGCCTGTTGCTGTGATGCTGGAAACTACACCACCAGTATTTCAGACACCAGCAGGGTCACCCATGGTGGGCAGTTTTCAGCAGAGCTTCCAAACTGAAAGAGACTGGGAGGAAAGGTCTGGGCATCTACTTCTGAAAATCAGCCAATGAAAACCCTGTGGATCACAACAGAACATTGCCTGATGTAGTGCTGGAAGATGAGCCCCCTGGGTTGGAAGGCACACAAAACACACAGTGGTCTCAACAGTGGGCTCAAGCATACCAACGATTGTGAAGATGGCACAGGACCGGGCAGTGTTTCGTTCCCTTGTGCATGAGGTCACCGTGAGTTGGAGCTGACTTAATGGCAACTAGCAATGAAAATAGCATGCAGTAAGCACCTACTATTTATGGGGTTCCTTTCTACACGGTGATCTACTTCCGAAAATCAGCCAACGAGAAACCTATGGATCACAACAGAACATTGCCGGATATAGTGCTGGAAGATGAGCCTCCTAGGTTGGAAGGCAGTCAAAATACACAGTGGCTGCAACCATGGACTCAGACATTCCAACGATCATGAGGATGTTGCAGGACCCGGTAACTTTTTGCTCTGTTTTGCATGGGGTCGTCATGAGTCAGTGCCCACTTGACACCAACTAACAGCAACCCAGTGAGGGTGCCATTGGTGGGTTCTGGCCTCTCAGATGCTGTCTCCCTCCTGCCAGGTTCCCTCTGTACAATCCCAGAGGTAGTTCCTGATGTTCCTTGTCAGGGACGCTCAGGCCTTGAGGGTGAAGAGGAAGCCCTGTGTAAACACCCAACCCCGCCATTACTTACCAAGGAGCTGGGCTTCCAGACGAACGGTTGTGGGTGTGGAGACTACCCTAGATACTAACTACAATGACCACAGACTGATCTGAAGGGTCTCTGTGCCCTCCGGGGACTATTGCAAACATTAGAATGCTGGCTGGCCCTACGAATCACCAGGCCTTTCTTTCTAGTCCGTCTTAGTCTGGAAGCCCCACTGAAACCTGTTCAGCATCACAGCAACATGGAAGCCTTCACTGACAGATGGGTGGTGGCTGCACTTGAGATGCATTGGCCTGGAATTGAACCCGGGTCTCCTGCATGGAAAGTGTGAGTTCTACCACTGTCGTGGATTGAACTGTGTCCCCCAGAAAGATCTGTCAATTTGGCTGGGCCATGATTTTCAGTATTGTGTGATGGTCCACCATTTTGTCATCTGAGGTGATTTTCCTATGTGTTGTAAATCCTATCTCTATGATGTTGAAGAGGTGGGATTAGAGGCAGTTATGTTAATGAGGCAGGACTCAGTCTACAAGATTAGGCTGTGTTTTAAGCCAATCTGTTTTGAGATATAAAAGAGAGAAGTGAGCAGAGAGACGCGGGGGACCTCATACCACTAAGAAAGCAGTAGTCCAGGAACAGAGCGTGTCCTTTGGACCCAAAGCTCCTGCACGAAGAAGCTCCTAGACCAGGGCAAGATTGATGACAAAGACCTTCCCCCAGAACTGATAGAAAAAAACCTTCCCCTGGAGCTGGCACCTTGAATTCAGACTTCCAGCCTCCTACACTGTGAGAGAATAAACTTCTGTTTGTTAAAGCCACCCGCTTGTGGTGTTTCTGTTACAGCAGCACTAGGTGACTGAGAC